GAGCCTGTGCTCCGGGGGGGGAGAGGCCATAGCAGTGAGAGGCCCGCGTACCAAAAAAAAAAAAAAAAAAAAAAAAAATCATCTCTTTAAATTAAGAATTATGTATTAAGATTATCCAATTTTATTTGGGCAAAATTATTCTAACGAAAAAAATCATTTCTGTATAGTTGCAAATTAAAACAATCCAGCACACTAGTTAAATGTTAAGATAGTCAAATGAAATAAAGTTAAATAAATCAATAAACTTCTGGCTTACAAAAAAACAATGTCACCATAAGAATTTATTTAGTTCCTAATTGTATGCAAAGCTATGCTAAGAATGAAATAAACAAAACAAGTATTAACCTTGTCTTCAAGGCGTTAAAGACATAAGGCATAACACAGAACAATGATAGGAACAGAGGACTAAAAATAAGTGCATAAAATAATGATCACATCTGAAGGTAAGCTGAGATTGCCATTCACAGTCTGGCTTAGTTAAATGTAGTCAAAATTTTGCACTGATCAGGAAACTGTCTTGATGGAAGGGGTAGGGAGAGTAGCTGGATATCACACAAAGTGACACGGTCTTAGAACTAGAGCTGTTTGTTAGATGGCTCACGCCAGGCATCTACTCAGCAGAGCTGGGTCTACAGGAGGAGGAGGAGAAAGCAAATGAAACCAGTCTTGGGTACCTAAACCTCATTATGTTTCTCAAAGAGCATGCAATAAGGCATGGGACCGTATTAATCCAGGAACCTAAATTTTAGTGATCTTATCAATGAGATCATGGCTGCCTAAGCTTCCCCAAAGACTTGGTTGAACTTCTGGTACAAAATTTTTTATTCATTCTTTTGTTACTTTACTTTGCACTACTAGATCTGGAATAAATCCAATCTATGCCGTTTACTAACTGATTGAATTTACAAAAAATACTTAATTTCTCAGTCTCCTCATCTACGTTTCATAGGATTCTTATGAGAATGAGTTCAGGTGGGTAGCCAATTCTATTTACTTTTGATATTTTAATTTTTTTTTTTTTTTTTTGCGGTACGCGGGCCTCTCACCATTGTGGCCTCCCCTGCCACGGAGCACAGGCTCTGGACGCGCAGGCCCAGCGGCCACGGCCCACGGGCGCAGCCGCTCCGTGGCATGTGGGATCCTCCCGGACCGGGGCACGAACCCGTGTCCCCTGCATCGGCAGGCGGATGCCCAACCACTGCGCCACCAGGGAAGCCCCGATATTTTAAGTTTTTAATTATTTTGTTTATTTTTGGTGGCATTGGGTCTTCATTGCTGCGCGCGGGTTCTCTCTAGTTGGGACGAGTGGGGGCTACTCCTCGTCGCGGTCCACAGGCTTCTCACTGCAGTGGCTTCTCTTGTTGCGGAGCACGGGCTCTAGGCACGTGGGCTTCAGTAGTTGTGGCATGTGGGCTCAGTAGCTGTGTCTTGTGGGCTCCAGAGTGCAGGCTCAGTAGTTGTGATGCATGGGCTTAGTTGCTCCGCGGCATGTGGGATCTTTCTGGACCAGGGCTCGAACCCGTGTCCCCTGTGTCGGCAGGCGGATTCTTAACCACTGTGCCACTAGGGAAGCCCTTGATATTTTATTTTTATGCTACTCACATAAATGGTGAATAAATTTAGGCTGAGGGAATCTGCAGTGAAGACAGACCATACCTTAGCCTTTCCTTTTCAGGTTGACCCATTCTTATGCCTCAACCTATTGCTCCATCCTTGCTCCCTTCCAGGCCAACACAGTTTAAGAGAATTATCACAAGAAATATGCTGGCTATGGAGAAGCTCACTCAGCACAAGAAAACCAGGTATATAAAATTCAAATTGCAGAATCCTTTCCTAGAATATGGTTCTATTACAGATCTTATGGGCTCTACGTCATCTGCCAGAAAGAGTATACCTTACAAATTTAACTCCTAAATCACTAAAACTTTAGGCATTTTTGCGACAACTCTTTTTTCAGCAGTGTTAAGGGTGGGTTATCTCCGCATGAAAGGATGCTTAACATCACTAATCATTAGAGAAATACAAATCAAAACTACAATGAGGTTATCACCTCACACCAGTCAGAATGGCCATTATCAAAAAAAACTACAAACAATAAATGCTGGAGAGGGTGTGGAGAAAAGGGAACCCTCTTGCACTGTTGGTGGGAATGTAAATTGATACAGCCACTATGGAGAACAGTATGAAGGTTCCTTAAAAAACTAAAAGTAGAATTACCATACTACCCAGCAATCCGACTACTGGGCATATACCCTGAAAAAACTGTAATTCAAAAGGAGTCATGTACCACAATGTTTATTGCAGCTCTATTTATAATAGCCAAGACATGGAAGCAACCTAAGTGTCCATCGACAGATGAATGGATAAAGAAGATGTGGTACATATATACAATGGAATATTACTCAGCCATAAAAAGAAACAAAACTGAGTTATTTGTAGTGAGGTGGATGGACCTAGAGACTGTCATACAGAGTGAAGTAAGTCAGAAAGAGAAAAACAAATACCATATGCTAACACATATATATGGAATCTAAAAAAAATCGCTCTGAAGAACCTAGGGGCAGGACAGGAATAAAGACGCAGACATAGAGAATAGACTTGAGGACACAGGAAGGGGGAAGGGTAAGCTGGGATGAAGTGAGAGAGTGGCATGGACATATAAGTACACTACCAAATGTAAAGTAGATCGCTAGTGGGAAGCAGCCACATACATAGCACAGGGAGATCAGTTCGGTGCTTTGTGTCCACCTAGAGGGGTGGGATAGGGAGGGTGGGAGGGAGACACAAGAGGGAGGAGATATGGGGATATAAATATATGTATAGCTGATTCACTTTGTTATACAGCAGAGACTAACACAACACTGTAAAGCAATTATACTCCAATAAAGATGTTAAAAAAAAAAAGGGATGGGTTATCTCGAATAAGAGGCAAAATAATTTATGTTCCTTAAAAAAAAAAAAAAGTCATTCTTATCTATTTTTGTTCCAGTCTATAATATGAAGTGTTTGGCATATGTTAAGATTTACATTCTTGCCAAGTCAGAGATTAAGTTTTCAGATATCACTCCAACAGTATTCCAAACTGTGTCTTAGGTATCTGATGGCATATAAAATTGTTCCAGAAAATTTAAATACTAGAGATGGCAATCTCACTGGCAAAGCTCTATCCCTAGACAATCTAGAAGGAATATCTTCCC